CACAGGTGCACTCTCTATTCCCTCACTCTCTTAATCCGATGGGACGGTAAACCGACACGACCGGAGAGAGATCAGGCGCAGGACCAACGGCTTTACGTGCTTTCCGAGGCACGGGGCTGAGACACCGCCAACTTCCTGACTTCGGGCAACTACTGAGATTTTCTTGACGAAAAAACTCAATAATTAATTTTTTTATGTGTTAGAATTTAAGGATATAAAAAATGTTAATCCACAAACTCGATCCCTCCCGAAAGTAGAGCAGATTGCCCGATTTCATGGTAATTGTGTTCCCCTCTCTTCGGACGTCACTTAACCCTACAATATGTCATAGAATATATTATGTTAATATGGTTTTTTGTATTTATTCACAAATCGTAGACTACAAAAGTGATAGACCTTTGTAGTCTACGATAATCCTTTATACTTGTGAGTCCCTGAATGACCGCTGCATTATATCTTTTAAATCTAGGACTACATTTTTGACCATGTTGGAGAAACATTATGAAAATAAAAACTATGTTTTACTTTCAAGTACCTCTTCGCTTTCAAAATTCCAGTCGTGTTCAAAGTAAGACCTTTTATTACACTTTTAATATAAAGTACTTTTAATGTATAGTAATTACCACGAACGTATCATATATTTACTTTTATACAATTTTCCTCATAAACCATTCAGCGAGTGCTCCCTTTGGAGTGAAATTAATTTCACGATATGAACACGTAGCTTCCTGATTTTGTCATCTTATTAAAATATATTGGGGTTAAAACGGGACTGGCATAATATATTCTGTTGTTTTATTTTTAATTAACTATTTCATAAATCTAAAATAAAAATATTATGTTACATGTTTTTAACTGTTTTACTTTATTGATCATATAAAATAAATCATTTATCTCCTCTATGTAGTCACTCAGGAATTAAGCTCTTGTCTTAAATTTCATAATGTGCTAGCAATCAAATTTTCAAAATAATTTTTAAAAATAAGAAATCGTAAATTTCAATTTCAAATTCTGGTTAGGTGACTTATCATAACCTTAGGCTTTACATTGAAAAGCTCCAAAATTTTATGGTGTTTTAATGATTTGTTATATTTACACATTGAGTTATATATACTACGTACTAGAGAAGCTATTAGAAACAAAAAATGAGCACTACTCTGTATCCGCACATGCGCGGGAAACAGTAGAGTCGCGCATGCGCAGTTGAAATAAACGCGCGAAAATTGTCATAATAAATGAATGTTTACTTAGATTGTATTGTTAATCGAGTAAATTTTTTAAAATTTTCGTATATTTTGCATATGTGTTAATTTAATACAAAATTATTATTAGCGCCGCTCCGCACTGCATGAATATCGAAGCCACAATAACAGGTGTACCTGTACGGATTGCAGTACAGTTCAGTTGAACATAGTGAGTGTTCGGAATGCCAAATCTAGTGCGTGGTATATATACAATATATAACAAAAACCCTGTGGTTCCCGTGAAGTTCGTTATTAGAATCAGTATTCAAACTGTATAGAAATAACTTTACTTCAGAAAACTCGACATAAAAATAATCAAATTAAATTTTAATTAAATAATATTTGTAAATTTTATGTGGATTGATTACCTCTGCTTGGAATTATAGACAGCGGCGGGCGGCGGCCGGCGGTGACGTACATCAAAGACGGGGCGCGCGCGCGCGCGCGTCTTACCTACACTAACTGCACACTGAGGTCGTGGCCTCGTCACATCACAGCTGTTATAGTCGAACACTAATTTATCACTCTGTCTACTTGACGAACACGAAGATGCTGTTCAATATGTCCACCTTGTACCTCTGTACATTTGTGACACCGACTTATAATATCTGAACGCACGCGTTGCATAACAGACATTTCGGACCATTTCGAATTTTTTCATAGGCTGCGACTAACCGCATACGCATTTCTGCCTCGGTATCGCATGTTTTTTGAAATACAGTCTGCTTAATTCAGTATCCAAAAAACGTACGTAACGTACATCCTCGGTCTTCCTGAATCTGTACGTTGTTGGTCACGGCCATGCACACTGCCAGTATTGTACATACAAATGTGAAGTCGTTGGAACATCATCGCCGACGGCAATTGTATATTTCGTGGAGTAGCAAAGCACTCCCCGTAAAGTCTTCGTGCTGCTGCATAATTGCAGTCACATTTCCCGAGACACATCAACATATTAAGATATTCCTCGTTTGAGTAAGACATCGCACACAAGTCACTCACGGCGGAATATTAATTTCGCAATATAAAACACAACCGTCAATATCAGTGCTAACGCGCTACTAGTGCTTGTTTTTTTTATAGGAAAATGGTGACAAGCGAGCACACAGTCCACCTGATGGTAAGTGGTTGCTGTGATCCATAGACATCTACATCTATCCTCGTTTGCGAATCAAAATGAAGACGCGTTGTCAGCCTTGAGGACTAAGATGGAAAGTCCAGTAAAAAGAGTCTCCGGTTCTCTACACTCATCATACGAAACACAGCAGCATTAAGCTGCTATTTGACGCTGGTATTCTGTGAGAGCGTGGTCCTTCCCCGGTCGAGCCAACCCATTCGTGCTACAACTATACAATTAATATAGCTTTACTCTACCACTGTAAAAAACTGTTTGTTTTCATAGAAGTGGCAAAGCTATTGTACTCTATAACATAATTTTGATATTTTCTAAATCGATAAAAAATTTCGTGATTTTTTATGTTATTTTTTAATAATAGTTATTATTGATTTATTTACTTCAGACAGCGCCCGTAAGTGTTATTAAAAAATTAAATTATAGCTAGGATTAGTAAAAATACATTAAACACTTTTATAACAAGAAACATTTAAAAAATTGTGTTATAAATCCACACAATAACAAATACTTAATTTATTATACTGCATTATACTGTTTATCAAAATCTAATAATTAGCATTTTTTTATCGACCGATGATAAACAATACTTATTTCTATTTCTATTCTTGATCACTGAATTGTGACAAAATGTTATGTCTATAACCCTTGCCATGGTTTTAAATATTACTACCAAATATTAGCACAGAATAAATAATAGATACGACGACTTCGAAGATGTTGTTCAATATGTCCACCTGTCACACATTCGTGACGCCGGCTTATATATTTTATCGACCGACGATAAACAACACTTATTTTTATTTTTATTCTTGATCACTGAAATGTGACAAAATTTTATGTTCATAAAACTTCCCATGTTTTTAAACATTACTACTATAAGCACAGAATAAATAACAGATATTTGATCAAAATTAGTTAGTCGGCATAAAGTGGACGCTACTTTTTATCACTCGAAGAGTGGAGTTTTTTGGATTTTTCCTAGTACCTAAGTCCTTCGTCGTCTTTCGCTTTTGAGTTTAAAGAGCGCGCAAAACGCTGCGTATATTACCTAATAATTTTGTTTTGTTTATTATATTCTAGCAATAAACGACAATATGAATTTATTTAAAAAAATAATTACTACCTACTAGTCTTTATCGAATAATATTTCATATGAAAAATACTACTAAATTTCTCCTAGAAATAGTTGCAAATTTGGAATTAATCACGATATTTTATGCATGAAATAACCTTTTTTAAAATTTTCGTAGATATATTTAGCAATAAAGTGGAAATTTATAACATAAGTATTCAAATACTATGTGTATTGGGGTTGAAATAATATCCATTTCATTATAATTTCTATTATTTTGAAATTAAAATTTTCGGAGAATAACTGAGTCTAGATAAGTATAAAGATTTACCAAAAACCTTGGGGCAGCACGTGCCGCTTAGCGGCTTGCTTTGAGTCGGCCGTGTCAGTGACCTCATATCGGCCGTAGTCTTTTATTCTGTGACGTAGATAATATTATGTCGGCACTTGTCGGTAAGTTCAGAAACAAATAACATTTTTAGAAATTTAATATTTCTTAAGTTATCTTATTAGAAATCCAAAAACATTTATTTACACATCGCTTTCAATGTACATTTAAATTTTTTTCATTCCCGAGATTTGAAGGTAGCCGGCACCCGAAACGTTGGGAATCAAAAATCAGTAAATGAAACGGGCGCAGGAACAGAAGTGATTCTATTCCCGCGTTCATACAATAAGGAAAACGTAATAACGACTTAGGTGTGCTCTGATTGGTCGACGATTTGATTGGTCAATACTTCACTAAACAATAACTTTTTATTGAATTCATTAAGTTACTTAAGTAATTTCAATTACCAGGATTAATAATCAAATCGACAATTATTTGTTTCTATGATTTAAAACAATATTTGAGTCAAAAGTTGATAATCGAATAAATAATAAATATAATATATAAATATCTCTATTGACCTGTTAACACAGTATTCACCTTTGTAAATAATGGGCTTTGATTGAGAACCATACCCAATAACGATGAGATGATCATAGAGTAAGTGAAGCTTTAAAAAGCACACTTAATTTTAATAATTAAAACCATAAATTATTCTTATTGCATTTGTAAATATGTAAAGTTACAGATTGTAGTTGTACTTTCAATTAGGTACGAGTATAGTATTGTTTCATTCTCACGTGACGGTAATGCTCTGTGATAGACACAAAGTCTTTGATTTGAAGGAATAGATGAATTAGGATCAGGAACGCTCTGTGATAGATACAAAGTCTTTGATCTAATGGAGAGTAAAGTAAGGAGCTTAGGACCATTGCTCCGTGACAGGCACGAAGTCTCTTTATTTGACGGGTAAAATAGGGAACTGGGTTCTGAGCGGTCATGAACGCCGTGTCCCAGCAGGATAACATGAGAGTATAAATTGTCGCCTCCACTATTATACGTTATTTTCTTTTTTTTTAAGAATAACTTAATGTTTATATTTGCCTCCACGGCTTTTGAATGTGAATGAAGTAAAATTGTTTAGTTTAATAGCTATGTAATTAATAGATACAGTAATTATAATAGATAGTAGCTTAGAATAAATTGGAAACTGCTCACCATTTAATTTGTAGCATCTATCATGACTGAAGGTCCAGCACCGTTGTCTACCAGATTACCGTCGTCATTTTGCAAGTTTTGAGGCTGTAAATCATTTAGGGAAAGCGAATCATAGGATCCACCATCACTTATTGGCTCGTTCCTCGGCGACACGGCTGCCTGCTCACCAGGCTGCAGTACCCGTCGCAACTGGTCATGAGCTACTTTACGTGGTCGACCACGTCCCACCACTGGTATAATAAGATAACAGTCATTGTATGACAACACGTCAATGACATCTTTTTTTTGTAATGTGTTACGTAGTAATTTATGTGTGATTGTTAAGTAAGAATATAACATGAAAGGTTCTCACCGGGATGGAATCCATATTTTCCTATGTCTGTAATCGACGACTACTGACGAAACCCTGAACTAGCACTAGCTAGTTTTGACGCAGGTTAGGTTGGTGCTGGTGCTGTCACCAGTGTATTAACAATGCCGGATGCTCCTTGATGCTCGTTTGTGTCTGTAGGCGACACGGCCACCTGTTGGTTTAAGACTGCACCTGGTTGTGGGGCACGTCGTAACTGCTCATGCGGGACTTTACGGGGCCGACCATGGTGACTGACAACTTTCTTCAAGAGTTATCGGTCGTTATAGAGTACTCTATGAATATCGTAGGGCACGCTAAACTTGTGTTCTAACAAAGTCTGGTTTCTGGGATTATTTTTTTATTTAGGGGAAATAATAAAAATACTACCTCAAATGGCTCAGCTAGATCCTCAGTTATGCCGAAAATATTGTATCATTAATTTTGAAATAAATATATGGTAAAGTTGAGGATTAATGTTAAGTACGATGTTAGACGAAAATACGATTCCGTAAAATTTTCTCGATAGAAAAATAAATCCAAAGTTACCTCCAAACTTAACAAGAAACCGCTGGTATTCATAAAATACTGTTACGCGCTCAAGTCGACGGCACTAGCGCCATCTAGTCTCAAACCGAAGAACTAAACTTCTTGAAGTTGAAACACGAACTCTCGGTACCTTGCGCGTGTTTACTTGAATATTCTGGATATTTCGCTGCTAATTTATATAAATAGGCGCTGCAAGATGCGATTGGGCGAAGTATTGAAGTTGGCGAGCCAAGCGAAGCTTCGGAGCGGAATAAAGTGAATCAGTGTGATAAATTTTTAGTGTTTTAAGTTTTAATTGGTGTAAAGAAAATTAAAGTGTTAATTTAGGTAATTTTATCGTCAATTTTTATTGTCACGAACCTCAAGCTCGTAACAATACTTTAAATTAGATCATGAAACTTTGCATACTAACTGAAATAACTATAAGGTAGGGAGGGGGCTTATGTTCTTTTTTTAATTACCATTATTTTTTAATGTAAAAAGAAATGACCTGAACTATCGGGGTCTTGAAGCTTGTTTCCTGCCACCCGATCAATCTCCATCAGTCTTGCTTAGGCTTTCGAAGGGAAAAGCTGTGTCGCTTATATCAGAAATCAGAAATCAGAAATATTTATTGACCTTAATATAACAATCGTTACAGGCAAGTCATTGGTTACAAAAGTTTTAATAAATTTATAAGGTTAAATTATATTATTGTACTATTTCCTTAATTTAGATACATTAACGCTTTACGTCATAGAATTAGGTAATTTATTTTGTTTGCACGTTACACAAGAATGACGATTCCATGAGTTGCATTGACATGTATTCGCTTAATTTGTAAAATGGGTTGTTCTCAAAAAAATACTTAAGTGTCCGTTTAAATTTGCACGAGTATAATGTAGGCTGGTTAAACTTTTTGGTAATTTATTATACATCAATATTTTTGAGTAAGGCCCATGTTTTTTAACTTTCACTAATCTATTCATGGGTAGAACACGTTTTTCATTATTTACGCAGATTGTGTTGATTTATCTGTCTTTCTTTTTCGATATTTCTTTATCCTCATGTACCTCTAATAAACTATTATATATATAAAGCGAAACCGCTGTCATTATTTTGTCGTTCTTAAAATGTTTTCTTGTCGGGCTACGTTTTTTTAGACCATTGATTATTCTTATAGACTGTTTTTGACATTTTAAAACTTTTATAATATCCGGAGCATTACCCCAAATAGTACACAGATATGAGTGTCTTTTTATCTAGTAATGGTTTTAGCTTAAATACTGCGTAATTACCGCTAGCTATTTTCTTACAAATTTTTTCAATATGAGCTTTATGGTTTATTGTGCTATCTACTGTATATCCAAAAAAAAACAGTTTCTTTTGCAGTCGAATTATCACGAATGCCTAGCCTCATTTGATAATGCATTACAATGCTTTTATTGGAATTTAGGATAATACCATTTGCGCCAAACCATTCTTTTAGCAAGCTCATAAAACTATTAATTTTATCGTCTAAATTTGATAAACTTTTGTCTCTTAAACCGATATGTGTATCATCTGCAAATAAACTTAAATGTGTATAATCTGGTATTGCATTGCCAAGATCATTCATATAGATCAAAAACAAAACAGGACCCAAGATCGAGCCTTGTGGTACTCCAATTGACACAGAACTCGCTAAAGAAGTTTTCTCATTTACTGAAACAGTTTGGCTACGGTTACTTAAATAAGTTGTCATCATATTTAGGTCAGCTCCCTGAAACCCATAATGCTGCAATTTTAATATCATTAGATCATGTCGCAAGCAATCAAAAGCCTTTGATAGGTCACAAAAAACACTGGCACATCTATTGGAATTGTCCAAAGATCCTAGAATGAAATAAATTACTTTTCTTATGGCCATTTCAGTTGATCGTCCCTTTCTAAATCCAAATTGTGCCGTTGTAAATAAATGATTTTCTTCAAAGTAACTTACAATTCTTGATTTTATAATAGCTTATAATATTTTAGATAACGTTGGCAATATACAAACTGGCCTGTAATTACTTAAATCTGTGGAATCCCCTTTTTTGAAAAGTGGAATTACCCTGCCCGGTTTGAGTACGTCGGGGAATATGCCATTAACTGAGCAGGAATTGACAACAATAAATATCAACTCGAATAAATTATTGTTATTTCTAATAAGATTTCTTAATGTTCTAGTGTTCATATCGTAAATGTCTAACGTAGGTTTTTGCTTCATACTAGTAACAACCTTTTTTAGCTCTGTATAATCAGAATACATTTTACGTAACAGGACGACGTAAAATTAAAATGGGAAATAACTGTAATAAAAATAAGAGGCGACTGGGTTGGCGTAAAGAGGCAGGAATAAATATGATAAACCTAATGAAATAAGTATCTTACGACCTATGTACTTACAGTATTGGTGATTACAAACATGACGGTACATATCATACGACGTTCGGTGAAGTAAGGGCAAAATTAGAATTTGAGCCGACTTACTATATCCCTTTAAAACGAAGATTCCCCGATGTAAGTTGTGTACCTTAGCCCGTTCTTTGTCAAACCAGAGTTTGTCTTTCGCCGACGCCTGTCATCCTCTGTTGCACATGACATTGCAATGCATCGTAATTAATGGATGTGGTATAAAAATTGACCAAATTAAGTAACTCGGGGGATACACAGTTCGATCGTCGGGTGAGAAGTGTAAGAAGATTATTGCCTATCGTTCTACGTATTTATCGGGTTTTTTGACGCATTTCTAATTCGTCAGTGTTATCGCGAGATTTAGGCACAAAGACGCAAATAAATAGAATTTGTGGTAATCTAGACGTTAAGATTCATGGTAAACATATAATGCACGTGGATGACGCCAAAAACCTTGGCATTGCCTTCGATACTAATCTCAGATTTAAAAATCATGACTTTAATATGGTTAAAAAAAACTGTTTTATCGCCTAAAGGTTTTATACCAAATCATTGACCAACTTTCTGTACCATCACGCATTACTCTTTGCAAGATATTGGTTTTGCCTAGGCTCAACGACGGGGATGTTGTTTATGGACCCCGGATTTTCAGCAAAACAAAGCGACTAATACAACGCGTGCAAAATACATGTTTTTCGCGGCGAAAAAACGACTCAAATGTGTGACCAGGCTTTGAACAAAATTAAGAAAATTTACTATCACTAGTTGTAGCTAAAGACGTCGACCGATTTTTATCGAATGAAAGGACATTAGAATTACTTTTATTACGGCAATTATCAGAAGTATGACCGATCTTTTCGCAAATACTACAAGAAGAACTTCTGTTATCAGAAAAATATTTAAAACGTTTTTGGGGCGGTGATTTGAATTATTTTGGGATGCAACGGGACGCTTAACACGAATGGATGAAGCAATGGATATCAATTCTGGCACCAAGGTGGCCCTAATATTCATTAACTCAATTCTAAGGCATTCGTCACCCACGGTTCCGATAACGGCCTCTACAGCATCACTGTCTCCATAGAAGCCATGCCCGAGATAAGAACTCTGCGATATCTTTAGAAGAGTCGTAAACGTGTTGTCTAAATCTCAGTACGTCACGCGAGTAAGGGCTTTCCGGTTCGAAGGTGGTGGTGATGTTTTGACGCAAATCTTCCCACGTAGAGGTAGTCACTAGCCAGTTATCGGCCCACATTTTAGCACGTCCCTTCAAAAGGTTAGTGACTCATTCGAATGTCATAATCACTGAGTTGATAGGTGTTTTTAGCCGAATAAATGTGTTTGCACCACTCACGAACTTTTAGTAGAAAGACTTCAGTTATCTTCATCTTTTCTGGTGACCGAGCGCTGAGTCGCTCGCTCATAGAACCCATCATATTGACCATTTCCAAAAAAAAAATCTTGTGTAATACCTTCGGGAGCTGCGGGCGCGCAACCTTCACGTTATGCAAGCCGTTGAGGATTGCCGGCACATATGATGTCGGAGCGGAAACCTCGGGGTTGTTTTTATGGTGAGGCAGCACCGCTGTCCCCATTTGACAAAGGTTCAGTCGTGCTACCGTATTTTGTTTCCATTGTAATGAAAGAGATTTAAGACTACACACTTTGAATTTTGCACTACAATAACTTTATTCTACACTTCTTATTATGAAAACTCACAAATAATACTCACAAAGTTTTACCAGGATAATATAAATACACCGACGGGCGCAGAAACGGAAGTGATTCTATTCCCGCGTTCATACAATAAGGAAAACGTAATAACGACTTAAGTGTGTTCTGATTGGTCGACGATTTGATTGGTCAATACTTCACTAAACAATAACTAATTATTGAATTCATTAGGTTACTTTAGTAATTTCAATTACCAGGATTAATAAACAAATCGACAATTATTTGTTTCTACGATTTAAAACAATATTTGAGTCAAAATTTGGTAATCGAATAAATAGTTGTTTTAATAGGAATTAGTTGTCAATAAAGAGATTTATAAACCAAAAGAGTTTTAAAGAACTAGCTAGTTAGTCATGGATTCGACCCCACACAGAGTGATACAAGTACGTGCATAAATGCTATTGCTGACTTTGCACCCTGTGTGTGGCCTATATCGCGTCACTTGAGTAAGCAAATGTAATAACGTCTGCATGAAAGATGTATTAGAATAAGTTTGCCATTGTTGAAGTACATGAGCTTCTGTACGGACATCTCTTAGTTTTATTTTAGTTTTTAAAAAAGCCTCCACCGCTCCCGTTAACTTGACTGGCGCAGCCGGTAGGATCACCATTTGCTTGCGCCGTCCGCGAAATAAATTCGTATAAAATCGTTTACCGCGTTCATGCCGCGAGGCGATCCTGCGAACCAATATAAATTTGTCAAGTGGAGAGCAGCTGAAGATGACGAAGGACGGCTGGTAAGTCCAAATTTTCACCTTCCTTTCCTTGCCATATTAAATAGTTTTGTTATTTTGCAATTAGACCTCTTGCGATATAACGTTATCTGGTTTTACATAAAAATCTGTGAAACTTATATTTAAAAATACTTAAACTTAATAACTAACTGCATAAAGAAATACTACGAATAAGATAAGTAAGCGCGTCCATGCAATGACGACGCGATAAGAGCTTGCACTGTGGGAACAAAGCGATTATAACTATTACAAATTATAATTGTAGTGTATGTTCGTTGATTAAAATTTTTATTGAGGACTTACTTATTAATTATTTTACTTTTAATTTGACAGTGTTTTTGATTGTGAATTTGAATTCTTGTATTAATTATATTATATCATCGCCTTATTTTATAAAATAAAGTTATACAAAATGGAAGATGAAGTACAAATTAAGATGATTCCTAATGAAATGCTCAAAATTGTACCGATATTTAGCGGTGATAAGCACTAATTAAATCTTTTTTATTCTCAAATGTGAGTATATATTAAATAAATATAGGGGATCCGATGAACAAAATTCATACCTAATGTACGCGATAACAAGTAGACTCGTAGGCGACGCTGCAACGCTCTTTAGCGAGCGTGAGGACATTAATTCGTGGGAAGATTTTAGAGAACTGCTAATTCAACATTTTGGAGACCCTAGAAGTGAAGAATGTATTACTATAGAACTTGAAGATTTGCGTATCCGAAACAACGAGTCGTATTTAGATTTCTGTAATAGGATCCAATCCGTTCGTAGTGTTTTAATATCGAAAGTAAATAGATTAACCGATCCGAATTTAAAGAGTAGCAAAATTATTATATATAATAACGCATCTTTAAATGTCTTTTTGTATAATTTGCCAGAAAATATGGTGCGAATTGTTCGCTTAAAAGCGCCCAGTACACTAGAAGAGGCTTTAAGCGTGGTCATGGAAGAAGTCAACTTCCATGAGCAGTATACCTTGCGTAATAAAATGTATAGTAATCCTAGTAATAAACCAACGCCACTCAGTTTACCAAATAATAACCCTATGTTAAAATTCGGTACAAATAATTTTAATTCAATGGCACCAATGGGCTATAAACCCGAATTAACCCCTAACAAATTTAACTTTGGACTTCCGCAGGGGTCACAATCAAAATTATCTCAATTTAATAATAATCAATAAAATTTTGGATACCGCCCAAAACAATTTGGCTTCCGCCCGCAACAATTTGGTATGCGTACCCAATAGTTCGGAATGTAACCACAAACATTTAATAAACCTCAACAATTCGGTATGCGCCCACGACAATTTGGTATGCGTCCACAACAATTTGGAAACCAACAACAAAACTTTTATAAGCCCCATCAATTTGATTACAAGCCTCAGTTAAATAAAAATCAATACACTGGGTCCAGTGACGTCACAATACGAACGGCACCATCCCTTAAAACAAATCAACAAGGCTTTCAGTTAAATAAACTCGACCTTGATAATACGTATTACGATGATGCGTGCAGCGATGTGTACCCAATTTCTTATGATAATTGCTGCTATGAGGAGTACTCAAGCAGTAGCCTTAATGTCCCCGAGCTCGATTATTATGAAAATGAATATCCGACAATAATTCCTGAAGTAACACATGGTGTCCCAACCAATATGGACGAAAAGGATTTTCATGTCGAAGCCTCGGAACCTACGAAAAAATAGATTTAAATTGTAGTACTAATTTGAGATTGCCGTTTATTTAAAAACCGGAAATCGACTCCAAATTTATGATTGATACGGGTAGTACGCGATCATTCATTAGTCCATCAAAAGCTTATAAGTACTTTCCAGAGTACATAAGTCACGAACCATTCGAAGTCATTAGCACACATGCATCGAGCAGACATGATCAAGTTATTCAAATCCCGTCTTTACCAATTTTCAACTGTAACGATATTCATAAACTATACATTTACAATTTCGACTCTAGGTACGATGGCTTAATTGGGAATGATATACTTTGCAACCTAGAAGCAGTAATAGATTTAAAAAACGAGATTCTTAAAACTAAAACTACCGTAATACCTATAACACATAGTAAATCTTCTTACGTTTTGGAGTTATCTCCCCGTTCAGAGCAGAGAGTCAAACTCCCAACAAATTTATATTCAGGTAATGCTGTAATAGATTATAAAGAATTCTGTAAGGGTGTGCGAATGCCTAGTGCGTTAGTGAGATGTAAGGATGGTTATACGACTACAGTAATCCAGAATACCTTAGATATAACGATAAAATTAACTATTAAAAGACCATTGAATGTAGAAGCATATGAAGAGAGTAAAGCGACTAGATGTGTAGTTAACCATATTACAGATATATCAGATATTGAAGTAGATAAAATATTAGAGCAAAATTTAGAGAAATTACGCTTAGACCACATGTCGGAAGAAGAACAAAAATCGATATACCACTTATGTAGAGAATATAAAGATATTTTTATAGCGATCAAATACCTTTTTTAAACGACATAACTGTGGACGATAAGTACCCTTTACCCAATATCACTGACATTTTTGACAAACTGGGTAAAAGTACTTACTTTTCAACCTTGGACTTAGCTAGTGCATACCACCAAATTGAGATCAACGAATCAGATAGACAAAAAACGGCATTCAACACAGAGAACGGACACTATGAATTTCTTCGATGCCCTTTGGCCTGAAGACAGCTCCAGCCACCTTCCATGGATAATATCCTAAGAGGCTTATAAGGAATTCATTGCCTTGTCTATCTTGATGACATAATTATTTTCTCGAGTAGCCTCCATGAGCATTTACAAAAATTAAGGACAGTTTTTGACAGATTGAGATCGATTAATTTAAAAATACAACTTGACAAATCAGAATTCTTGAGAAAAGAAGTGCTATACCTAGGGCACGTTATTACTAAAGACGGACTTAAACCAAACGATGATAAGATGTAGGCTAAGTAAGCTACCCGTTACCAAGGACGACTACCGAGATCAAGAGTTTCTTAGGATTGATTGGCTATTACAGACGCTTTGTAAAAGACTTCGTCAATATCACTCAGCCCCTTACAGCATGCCTAAAGAAAAGAAATAAAATTGTAATAGATCAAAAATATATTGATGCGTTTCAGAAGTGTAAGGAGCTTCTGACTAATGCACCTTTACTCCAATACCCAGACCCAGACAAACCTTATGTTTTAACTACAGATGCTTCTACTGTTGCTTTAGGTGCGGTCTTATCGCAGGGGACAATAGGATCCGATAAGCCCATTGCCTACGCCAGTAGAACTCTCAGCGACACTGAGATCAGATATAGTACAATAGAGCGTGAACTACTCGCCATAATACGGGCCGTAAAACATTTTAGATCATACCTTTACGGGCGTAAGTTCACCATATATACTGACCATAGACCACTAGTTTGGCTTTATTCACTCAAAGAACCGAACAGTAAATTGACCCGTTGGCGTTTACGTCTTCAAGAGTACGATTTCGATATTGTATACAAAAACGGAAAACAAAATAGCAATGCTGATGCCCTCTCTCGGATAAAACTAAATGCCATAGACTCTGATGACTCACATTCATTGTAAGTAAACCTGGACCCTAATGAACAAAAACTGCAAAAATATCTGACTGAATTAACTGACCATATTGTGGACTTATCGACAGAAAACAAGGACGACTCTAGGACAATAACTATAACTGACACATCCGCCACTGTATCCGTCGACCAGTTAGAGACTAATACGAAATACCCATTACCACCTATATCTTCGATAGTAGTATAGTAACTGTACATTCTGGAAAAGATCTAGAATCTAATGGTATTCCGATATTATAGAAAGCCATTGACTCAAAACCTAACCAAATTTTAGTTTATACCTGGCATAAAAATGAAGTACAAGTGAGAAATTTATCCAGGGATAAACAAAAGGTTCT